CTGCTTCCCCCTCCCCGCCTCAGCGGCCCAGCTTCTCCCCACCCTCGGGCCCGGTCCTCCCCTGCATGGGGCCCAGGCCCACTCCTCCTCTCTGTCCACTGCTGCGGCAGGGAAGAGGGGAGCAGGCCTAGACCCCAAGCTGCAGGAGGGAAGGGGCGAGCGGGCACGGACCTGGGGGTGGGGCCTGCTCCCTCACCCCCCATCTTTCTTGACAGGCAATTGACTAGTCTTTTAATACCGGAGCACTTACATTTTGTTTGATCCTTCAGCTGTGCTGAACTGTGTAGAGGAAGGAGTAGAAAGAGAACAGGAAGGTGGTGAAGGAGAGTAACAGGATGTCTAAACTGTGTCAGTGGGAAATGAGAGAGATTTCTAAAATGGTCTGTTGTGACTTGGGTTCTCTCTTGGGCGGTATGCATAAAACTACAATGATGGGTATCTTTCTAACAATAAAAATAAATCTGTAATGAAATTGAGCTTTACCGTACAAGTGGGTTTTGCATACAGTTTAATATTCACGTTGTAATCTTTTTCTTAGTACACGATCGACAAGATGAACTTGCCCATATTTTGGCAATGATTGATCCAGCTCTTGGGCCCCAAAACAGACCTGTGCTGTTTTTATCCTGTACCTCTTATGATGGCGTTAAAAGAATTCCATGTGTTTACATGGCACACCAACTGCAACTAAACCAGCTAAGGCAGCCATGGATGGTATTTCTATTTTTAATCTCTATTATTCCTTTTAATTGTCGTCTTTATAACTTTTTCTTTGAGTAAGAGACACAAGATGCTTTTTCCTACTGTTTAATTATCAGTATAGCTGTTGACACACTAATATCTGAACAAACAATAGGAATATATTATAAATCTGAACAAACAACATGAATTTAGCATCTCAATGCTTCTGTGACAGGAAGTACTATCCCAGTTATTTAGATGAGAAATTGAAGCATAGAAAAATGAAGTGAATTGCCTAAAGTCATACATGAAGATTATGGCAGAGCAAGTATGGAATGTGGGGTAAAATCTTGGCTTTATAGTCAGCAGCAAAACTTCCACTGATTTCAGACCAGATCTCCTTAATCCCAGCCCAGTAACTTAACCACAAGCCTCTTTTTCTTGTCATTTGCAGAAGCTTATTAGTTGGTCAGCTTACACGTACCTGTCTGTATCCTGTGCTGCTTCTAGTCTTTTCCAGTGCACAACCTTTATTCAGCACTTGAGGTCCTGAACTTATTTAACACTTTGACTTGCACAAAACATGCAAGTGTGGTAAGGTTTTGGGGAGAGTAGTGTTTTGTGAGTATGCCATATTTCAATTAAGCATTCAGCCTCAGGACTGAAAAAAGGCTATGCACTTACCTGGAATACTCCCATATCCAAATTTAATGTAAGTAACGCTCATTAAGTCCACAGTGCTGTGTGTAGCACTAGCATCTCTGAAACTTTCAAGGATTCTCATAGCAGTTATGAAGGTTCAGGGTTGTTATCAGAAGCTTTGAAAATGATGGGAGCTAGTCAGTCTCACAGCTTATTAGAAGTCTTGAAAATGAAGGGGGCTAGCAATTCTGAAATGGACTATCAATTTCAAGGCCTCCCATAGCTGCATTTCCTTCAGAGCACAGTTAGTTTACAAAGTAAACACTGAAGCTGAAAGATGCTATGAATTTAAGCAGTTTATTTGCTTACCAGGTATATAAATACCTAACTGTGTTACAGTGTAAGCAGCAGGATCCTCTGGGAGGTCAGTCTGAGGGGGAAAGGAATCCAGGAGAGCTGGCTGTATTTTAAAAAAACCTTACTGAGTGTGCAGAAACAAACCATCCCAATGTACAGGAAAAATAGCAAATATAGCAGGCGACCAGCTTGGCTTAGCAGAGAACTCTTCAGTCATCTTAAATACAAAAAGGAAGCTTACAAGAAGTGGAAGCTTGAGCAGATAACTAGGGAGGAGTATAAGAATATTGCTCAGGCATGCAGGGATGGAATCAGGAAGGCCAAAGCACAACTGGAGTTGCAGCTAGCAAGGGATGTGAAGGGTAACAAGCAGGATTTCTACAAGTATATCAGGAACAAGAGGAAGATCAGGGAATCCCATACTGAATGGGGGAGGCAACCTAGTGACAGATGATGAGGAAAAGGCTGAAGTACTCCATGGCTTTTTTACCTTGGTCTTCACAGACAAGGTCAGCTCCCAGACTACTGCACTGGGAAGCACAGTTTGGGGAGAAGGTGAGCAGCCCTCAGTGATGAAAGAACAGGTTAGGGACAATTTAGAAAAGCTGGACATGTACATGGGGCCAGATGCAATGCATCCAAGGGTGCTGAGGAAGTTGGCCAATGTGATTGAAGAATCGCTGTCCATTATGTGTCTTTGAAAACTTGTGGCGACTGGGGGAGGTCCCAGACGATTGGTAAAGGGCAAATATAGTGCCCATCTTTACAGAAGGGAAGGAGTATCCAGGGAACTACAGACTAGTCAGCCTCACCTCAGTCTCCAGAAAAATCATGGAGCAGATCCTCAAGGAATCCATTTCTAAGTACTTGGAGGAGAAGAAAGTGATCAGAAATGATTAGCATGGATTCACCAAGGGCAAATCATGCCTGACCAACCTGATTGTCTTCTGTGATGAGATGACTGTCTCTGTGGATGCAGGGAAAGCAGTGGATATGATACCTTGACTTTAGCAAGCCTTTTGATACTGTCTCCCACAGCATTCTTGCAAGCAAGCTAAGGAAGTATAGGCTGGATGAATGGACTGTAAGGTGGATAGAAAGATGGCTGGATTGTTGGACTCAACAGGTAGTGATCAATGGCTCAAGATCTAGTTGGCAGCCAGTATCATTTGATACCCAGGGGTCAGTCCTGGGCCTGGTTTTGTTCAATGTGTTCATTAGTGATTTGGAAGATGGGATTGAGTGCACCCTCAGCAAGTTCGCGGATGACACTAAGCTGGGGGGGTATAGTAGATACGCTGGGGAGGTAGGGCTAGGATTCAGTGTGACCTAGACAAATTGCAGGATTGGACGAAAAGAAATCTCATGAGGTTCAACAAGGACAAGTACTAAGTCCTGGGCTTAGGACAGAAGAGTCCCATGCACTGCTACAGGCTTGGGACCAACTGGCTAAGTAGCAGCTCTACAGAAAACGACCTGGGGGTTACAGGGGACAGGAAGCTGAATATGATTCAATATTGTGCTTTTGTTGCCAAGAAGGCAAAAAGCATACTGGACTGCGTTAGTAGAAACATTGCAACAGACCAGGGGAAGTAATTATTCCCCTCTATTCTGCACTGGTGAGGCCACAGCTGGAGTAATGTGTCCAGTTTTGGGTCCACCACTACAGAAAGGATGTGGACAAATTGGAGAGAATCCAGCAGAGGGCAACAAAAATGGTTAGGGGGCTGGGGCACATGACTTAGGAGGAGAGGCACAGGAAATTGGGCTTGTTTAGTCTGCAGAAGAGACGACTAAAGGGGGATTTGACAGCAGCCTTTAACTACCTGCAGGGTGGTTCCAAAGAGGATGGAGCTAGTGGTGCAGGTGACAGAACAAGGAGCAATGGTCTCAAGTTGCAGCAAGGGAAGTTTTGGTTGGATATTAGGAAAAGCTTTCTTACTAGGAGGGTGGTGAAGTACTGGAATGGGTTACTTAGAGAAGCGATGGAATCTCCATCCTTGGAGGTTTTTAAGACTCGGCTAGACAAAACCCTGGCTGGAATGATCTGGCTGTGGATGGTCCTACTTTGAGCAGGAGGTTGCATTAGATGAGCTTTTGAGGTACCTTCCAACCCTAATTTTCTCTGATTCTGTGAAAACAAGCAGAATTGACATGAGTATTACTGACTTTAAGAGCCAACTTGCAGCGTTAATATAGTGTAACATGCAGTATTAATATCAATATAACACATTGGCCTTTCTTGTTTCTACAGGTGCAGGATACTGTAGCTGCTAATTTAAATGGACTGCTAAATGGAGTTGAGTGGTTGCTTGAAGAGGTTGAACATAAAAATGCACAGTGATCAAATTTATTTTGCCATACTGTATAAACTAGAAAGCTTTACTTGTATTTGCAAAGCACATGGAGGGAGAATCTCACCCTGACATTGCACTATCTGATCAGAAAATTAAAAGGCAGGCCCTGCATTTTTGCATATATTTTAAAAGTTAGCATTCTTCTAACACAGATTTGGATTATTGCAACCATAAGCAAACATGGCTTGATGCCATTAAAAAAAATATCATGGGTTTGCGTTGGGTTAGATTGGATTTGGTTTTAAATTGCACTCTTTGTAGTGCCTTCCTTTCCCAGCACTTTTTATAATTTAAAGCAGTGGTACTCACAGTTTTGGTCCTGCAGGTCAGATGAATGCTGCAAGGCTGATCTGCAGGCCAGATCAGGCTCCATGCACCGGGATCAGGCCCTGGGGCTCCGAGCTGCCTTCACTCAGCCAAAGTTTGATCCTAGCTGGGTGGGGGCAGTGCAGGGCCCTGGGGCCTGATTCTGGCCAGGTAGAGGTGGTACAGGGCTCTGTGCCATCCCTGCCTAGTCAGGCTCCATGCTGTCCCTGCCCAGCCAGGATTGGGCTCCGGGGGTGTCATGCTGCCCCTGCCTACCCCACCATGTACCAAGATTGGACCCTTTGCTGCCCTGCATCCCTGATCTAGTGTGCAAGGCCACAACTTGCAGGGCTCCTCGCAGGATCCGTGGGGAGTCCTGTAGGCTAGACGGCACAGCCCGAGGGGCTGGATCTGGCCCACAGGCCGGGGGGGAGCACCAGTGGTTTAAATCATTTTGTAGATATTTCAGCCATGAGCACCTCTGGTTTAAATCATTTTGTAGATATTTCAGCCACTGTTAGCTTAGTTCCAGCACAGCCCTCTCCTTGTAAGCGTAGCCAGATTAATTAAGTGTATTTATTGGAGATGGCAGAAATCAGACACCTGACTCTTGCATAGTGTATTCCTTAAATGGTTAACAGAAGTGTGCCATATACCATAAATACAAGGACTCTTTGGAGGAGCAGTGTCTAGACCTGTGCTTCTCAACCTTTTATTCAAGGTACCCTCCATAACTTTTCTGAATTTGGCAGAATCCCACTTGAGAAGCACTGTTGTACTGATTCAGCTTACCTCAGTGCTTCTCAGCTGAGGTGCTGCTGCTGCCACTACTGCTGCCACTTGGTGAAGTCCCATGCTCATCTCCGGTTTAGTGCAGAGCCTGATTGGGAAGCAGCTGCCTGCTTGTGCTACAACACTTCCCAGTCTGGCCACCCAAGTTCTTCCTGATACGGGACAGTTCTTTGTGGCAACAACAGCCTAGATAAATGCAAAAAACATACAGATCAATCTCCAGGCTGCTCGTCTACTACTGCCAGGTGGAACTGCCCCATGGGCCTGCATGCTAAATCCAATATGTAGGTTTGTTCCAGCGTGGGTCCTATGTACAGTGCATGTGCCAGACTGCCCCCACTTATTGTGTGTAGTGTGAATGCCTGATCCATCTCTGTCCAGTGTGCAGGGATGGTTTGGTGCATGGTGCATACAGTGTGTGGGCCCAGACTGAGACCTGAAGGCAGCACCAAATGACAAGGGCTAGATCTGGCCTGTGGGCAGTATCTTTGAAATACCTACTCTAGGGGATGAAGCCCTTATTTTTCTTATCACTGGATGGCATCATCATGACCCAAAGCAAACTTCTTGACTACCAGGCTCTCGTCATCCCTTCCCTGTTGTATGGTGTGAAACCTAGACAACATATAGGCACACCTGAAAGCCTTGGAACATTACCATCAGCAATGCCTTCAGAAATCCTCCATCCAGTTGGAAGGATGGAATGGATATCAATTGGAAGAAAATGAATGCCAGTGTTCTGTCTCAAGCAAACACCACCAGCATTGAAGCCATGTTTTATGGCACCAGCTCTGTTGGACAGGACAGATCATAAGGATACCTGTCAACCAGGTTCGAGAACACGTCCTATACTCAACTTGCCAATAGTCACGACTGTAGAGGTGGGCAAAAGAGATTCAAGGAGACCTTGAAGGCCCATCTGAAGAAATGCAATTTTAATACCTGGGAGACTCCAGCACTGAATTGTCCTCATGGTGCTGTGAAGTGCAACAAGGAAGTGCAACAAGGCATCAACCATTTTGAGCAAACTTGCCTCACTATGGAGGTGAATAGGTGAGAGAGACAAAGAGAAAAAGCTGTTTTGTGTATGTAAGGTTCTTCTATAAGATACTTTATAGGAATGTATCTGGTACAATACTCTGTTGCTATTCAGGATAAATATCTTAAAGTACATACAAATAAGCATAATTTGTAATGAGACTGTGTGAATTCCTGCCAGTTGTAAATAGCAATAATAATAATTCTGCAGTGGCTTATTCTGTCCTGTGGAGGGGATGTACATCACTCTCTAATTCTTCTGCACTACCACAACAATGTGGTTTGGGCAGGAGGATTCATTCTCCTCTAAGGCTGGTGGAGATCCTAAATCACAACCTCTTTCC